AAATCACCATCAAGACCAAATTATATATAAATCATATAAATTATATATAAGTTATATCATATAAATTATATAAAAATCTTATATAGTTATATATAAAAATCTTATATATGATTATTAAATATTATAGTTATATATAAAAGTCATATATAAGATTATAACATAGTTGCACATATAAATCTTATATGTAAGATTATAATACAGTTACATATATAAATCTTACTGTATATAAGATTATTATATATTATATAGTTATGTAATTTGGTCTTGGAGGTGATTTGGTTCTAGGGCTTAAGTATCCAGATTTGTCTTACCTTTCCTTATATTATGAAACACCCAGCTGGGCAACGTGGTCTTGGGTCTTGCCTGTAATCCCAGCACTTTAGGAGGCTGAGGCAGGTGGATCACTTGAGCCCAGGATTTTGAGACCAGCCTGGGCAACATGGTGAAACTCCATCTCTACCAAAAAATACCAAAAATTAGCCAGACATGGTGGTATGTGTCTGTAGTCCCAGCTATTCAGGAGGCTGAGGTGGGAGAATCACTTGACCCTGGGGAAGTTGAGGCTGCAGTGAGCCAAGATCGTGCCACTGTGCTCCCAGTGCCTGGGCAACAGAGGGAGACCCTGTCTCAAACAAAACAAAACAAAACAAAACAAAGCACAAGAAACAAAATCCCCAAAGAAACACCCTAACACCCTATACGTGAGTCATTAAATTTGGCAAAAGTGAATAAAATAGATATTTTGGTTCACATATCTCTAAGAAAGGAGTTGAGTTTAGTTCAAAGAGGGTTTGCATCCAGATATTAGATTTGGGACAGGCACGCACCTTTTACAGCATTTGTTTGAAACCCTCAAAGTGTAGTCCTTCTTGTAAACAAGGCACATGAAAATGACAAGGGGCTCTTGTGCTCTGTAAAACATTTTTATGAGTTGTTTTTATATGAGATGAGAAGCCGTTAAAAAATTGAGATATTAGATATTTTCATGTCAAAGAAAATATTTAAAGTTTTATTTATTTATTATTTATTATTTTTATTTTTAAATTTGAGACGGGGTCTTGCTCTGTCACCTAGGCTGGAGTGCAGTGGCGCAATATTGGCTCAGTGCAACCTCTGCCTCCTGGGTCCAAGCGATTCTCCTGCCTCAGCCTCCTGAGTAGCTGGGATTACAGATAAGTGCCACCACACCCAGCTAATTTTTGTATTTTTAATAGAGACAGGGTTTCACCATGTTGGCCAGGCTGGTTTCAAACTCCTGACCTCGGGTGATCCACCTACCTCGGCCTCCCAAAATGCTGGGGTTACAAGTATGAGCCACTGTGCCTGGCCTAAATCTGTCTTTTTTTTTTTTTGAGACGGAGTCTCACTCTGTCACCCAGGCTGGAGTGTAATGGCATGATCTGGGCTCACTGCAACCTCTGCCTCCTGGGTTCAAGTGATCCCCCTGCCTCAGCCTACCAAGTAGCTGGGATTACAGACATGTGCCACCATGCCTGGCTCATTTTTGTATTTTTAGTAAAGATGGGGTTTCACCATGTTGGCCAGGCTGGTCTCGAACTCCTGGCCTCAGATGATCTGCCCACCTCAGCTTCCCAAAGTTCAAGGTTTACAGGCCTGAGCCACTGCACCTGGCCAAGTTTTAATCTTACTCTTAATAAATGGCCATACTTTTGCCTCACTATCCTGAGTGTATTCTGTATCTATATTGTACCAATTAGTTCTGTACTTTTTTTTTTTCACCCAAACAAGCAGTTTAAGAATCTATTCACATGAAGGACTTGGCACAATGTATTGTGCAAAGTAGAGAGTCAATAAATAACTGTTGATTGATTATTCGTCTGATTACCCTTTCTTTCTCCTCCCTCACTCCCTCCCTCCCTCCCTTCCTCCCTTCCTTCCTTCCTCCTTTTTTCTTTTTCTTTTTTTTTTTTTTTGAGACGGAGTCTCTGTCACCAGGCTGGAGTGCAGTGGCACAATACCTGCTCACTGCAACCTCCACCTCCTGGGTTCAAGCAATTCTCCTGCCTCAGCCTCCCAAGTAGCTTGGACTACAGGCACGTGCCACCATGCCCAGCTAATTTTTGTGTTTTTAGTAGAGACGGGGTTTCACCATGTTGGCCAGGGTAGTCTCAATCTCTTCACCTTGTGATCCATCCACCTCAGCCTTCCAAAGTGCTGGGATTACAAGCATGCACTGCCACACCTGGGCCTTTTTTTTTCTTTCTTTCTTTATCTTTCTGACAGGGTCTTGTTCTATTAACAAGGCTGGAGTGCAGTGGTGTGATCATAGCATTACAGCCTCCACCTCCCAGGCTCAAGTGATCTTCCCACCTCTTGAGTAGCTGGGATTACAGGCATGCACCACCCCTGTCTAATTTTTAAATTTTTTGTAGAGATGTGGTCTCTCGACAAAAATTTGTTTGCCCAGGCTGGTCTTGACCTCCTGGGCTCAAGCGATTCTTCTGCTTTCAGCCTCCCAAAGTGCTGGGATTACAGTTATGAGCCACCGCACCTGGCCTGATTACACTTTCTGTCAGTTTCTCCCTGTGGTTATTAAAATGGGGTCCACAGAGTCTGCTGTAACTTATTTGCCAGTGTTTATAAAAGATGACATCACACATTTCCAGGAGTGAATTCTTTGAAGAGAGAAAATTGTAATTGCTTTTGTAATTGTTTATGGGGAAGGAGTTCTAAGCTTGAGGGATGGCCACGTTGGTACGAAATGGCTACTGGCAGATACGGTCATTACACATTACACAGGTAGAGAAAGGATATTCAACCGTGTTCCTTTAGGTGTGACTACACTGCTCTCAGAGAGGAGCCAGGTATGAGCAGGAAAGGAGGAATCTGTGTGAGAAAAGGGTTGTTTCGCTGTGTGGCTTTTTTATGTGCTGGGAGAAACATCCTCCAGCTTTTTCTAGCCCCTACTTGTGCCCTTCCCCTCCAGTAATCTCTATGTGAGCTTTTTAATCTCCCGTAATATTTCTAAAGCTACTTTTAGTTCAATGTGACTAATACTCTTATTTTCATAACTGAGTGAAATGCATTTTAGTGTGGGTATACTTGATATTTGAATTTCATAGTAAAGTATCCTTTTTATTTTATTATTTTGTTTTATTTTTTAAAAAGTAAATTAAAAAAATTTTTTTTGAGACAGAGTCTCACTCTGGCTCCCAGGCTGGAGTGCAGGGCTTACTGCAACCTCTACCTCCCAGGTTCAAGCAATTCTCCTGCCTCAGCCTCCCGAGTAGCACACCACCACGCCCAGGTAATTTTTGTATTTTTAGTAGAGTCAGGATTTCACCATGTTGGTCAGGCTGTTCTCGAACTCCTGACCTCGTGATATGCCTGCCTCGGCCTCCCAAAGTGCTGGGGTTACAGGTGTGAGCCACCGCACCCGGCCTTCTCTTCTTTTTTAAACAAAATTTTTATTTTATTTTTAAGAGACAGGGTCCTGCTTTGTCACCCAAGCTGGAGTGCAGTGGGACAATCAGCACACTGTAACCTCAAACTCCTGGGCTCAAGCAATCCTTCTGTCTCAGCCTCCCAAAGTCCTGGGATTATAGGCATGAGCCACATTGTCTGGCCTCTTTTTTCTCTTCTTTCCCTTTTCCCAATCCCTTGTCTTCCTAATTCTTACTTACTTTTTGGCCATTAAAGCTTTGCAAAAAATTAAAAGTATTTTGAAAACTGCAAAAAAGATACGAGAGAGTCTCTACTCCAATTAGGTCATGTTAAAAGACAACATTACAACTCATCTAGTTTTGTAGATTTTTTTTTTTTTTTCCGACAGAGTTTTGCTCTTGTTGCCCAGGCTGGAATGTAATAGCACAATCTTGGCTCACTGCAACCTATGCCTCCTGGGTTCAAGCGATTCTCCTGCCTCAGGCTCCCTGTAGTAACTGGGATTACAAGGCATGTGCCACCACGCCCGGCTAATTTTGTATTTTTAGTAGAGATGGGGTTTTTGCATGTTGGTCAGGCTGGTCTTGAACTCCTGACCTCAGGTGATCTGTCTGCCTCGGCCTCCCAAAGTGCTGGCATTACAGGTGTGAGCCACTGTGCCCGGCCGTTTGTAGATCTTAATTGGCTTCTGTGATTCCAGAATCTGGCAGCAGTCCAGGCCAAAAAATGGTTCACAAAGCTCTGCCCCACTACACGTGCAGGTTATATTTATTGCCAGAGAAAAGGAAATGACATTCAGAAAAAGGATGTGAGGTACAGATAGCTAGGTTGGTTCTAACTCAGTGTTTGCCTTATTTGAAAGTGGTTTAACAGTTGACCTTCTGTGATTGGCTAAAGCTTGTCTGCTGTCATTAACTGAAACTCAGCTCTGGTTACAAAGGCTAATTTCTAGTTAGGTTTTCAGTTTGTTTACGTACTAAGCTAGGTTGCAGTTCATTACCTAGGACTCCTATGGAGTTTTCTAAAGCCCAAATTTAGTTTTAACAGTTGATTATACAATAATTAATTAATTAATATATTTTTTGAGACGGAATCTTGCTCTGTCACCCAGGCTGGATTGCAGTGGCATGATCTCAACTCACTGCAACCTCCACCTCCCGGGCTCAAGTGATGCTCCTGCCTCAGCCTCTCAAGTAGCTGGGATTACAGGCGTGTGCCACCATGCTTGGCTAGTTTTTGTATTTTTAATAGAGACGAGGTTTCACCATGTTGGCCAAGCTGGTGTTGAACCTCTGACCTCAGGCGATCCACCTGCCTCGGCCTCCCAAAGTGCTGGGATTACAGGTGTGAGCCATCGCACCCAGCCTGATTATATAATAATTTAAACATTGATGATACTAAAATTTCAGAAATTAAATAGTCATTTTGTTGACCCTTTATAACAAAGAGGTGTGATTCTATTATTTTCCTTGTTTGAATACTTAACAAAGTTATTTGTGTTGTATAGTGTAACTAGAGGAAGGATTTAATTTTTGTACATGTAAACAAAATATTTTTCATAAACAACCTAATAATATTTCTCTACTCTTGACCAGATTAGGAAGAAACAGCAAGAAGTAGTGGGTTTTTTGGAAGCAAATAAAATCGACTTTAAGGAATTGGATATTGCTGGAGATGAAGACAATAGGAGATGGATGAGAGAGAATGTTCCTGGAGAGAAAAAACCTCAAAATGGGATTCCTTTGCCTCCCCAGATCTTCAATGAGGAGCAGTACTGTGGGGTGAGTACGTGCTTCTATTAAAAATCCTGCTGTGTGTGTGTTTATTAGAAATTTTCAGGCTGAGGCAGGAGAATGGCGTAAACCCGGGAGGCGGAGCTTGCAATGAGCTGAGATCCGGCCACTGCACTCCAGCCTGGGCGACAGAGCGAGACTCTGTCTCAAAAAAAAAAAAAAAAAAAAATTTTCTAAAGCAGATTAATTTTGAGTCAGCATTTGAAATTGTTCACAACTGTCAGGTCATGATCTGTTTCTACCATCCAATAGCTGGATGGTAGATCCATTATGAATAATCAATATTTAAGATTTAGAAAAGGACAGAAACAATATCATGATGATTCAGAAGTTTTGGGGATTATTTCAGGTTCTTTCTTTTATTTTGAAGAATTGAGGTCACGTGTTCAAAAAATTATACATTTAGCTAGGAATTCTGTTCAGCGTTGCAGTGTGCACACACGTGTATCTGCGCAGGAACATGGTAAGTTTTCTGTCGACCAGGCTGGAGTGTAGTGGTGCAATCATGGCTCACTGTAGCCTCTTTCTCCTGGGCTCAAGCGATCCTCTCGCCTCAGCCTCCTGAGTGGCTGGGACTGCAGGAGTGCAGTACCCCACCCAGCTAATTTTTAAGTTTTTTGTAGAGACGGTCTCCCTACATTGCCCAGGCTGCTCTGGAACTCCTGGCCTCAAGTGATCCTCCTGCCTTGGCCTCCCAAAGTGCTGGGACTACAGGTGTGAGCCACTGTGCCCAGCAAGTTTTCACTTTTATAAAATTGACTTGTAGAAATAAAGTCTTACTATAGATACAAGATGAATTTGTATAACTTTAATTAGTTTGAAAACTGTTCTGGGCATTATGGTTATAACAACAATTTTGTTTTATACATTTGATAGTTCATTTCACCATAAGATCACTTCTTTTTTTTCCTGGAGTTTATAGATCGTACTTAATAAATCAAGTTGTTGGAAAGAAATTTTTTCTTTTCTTTTCTTTTCTTTTTTTTTTTCTGAGACAGAGTCTTGCTGTGTCACCCAGGCTGGAGTGCAGTGGCGTGATCCTGGCTCACTACAAGCTCCACCTCCCGGGTTCACGCCATTCTCCTGCCTCAGCCTCCCAAGTAGCTGGGACTACAGGTGCCTGCCACCACGCCCAGCTTATTTTTTGTATTTTTAGTAGAGACGGGGTTTCACCGGGTTAGCCAGGATCATCTCGATCTCCTGACCTCATGATCTGCCCTCCTTAGCCTCCCAAAGTATTGGCATTACAGGTGTGAGCCACCGCGTCTGGCCTATTCTTTTCATTTCTACCTTCAGAGAGGTATTTGTAGTTTATCTTACGAGAAGCTTTGCTTAATTTGCTTTTCTGTGGTCTATGGACACACTTACAAAAGTACATTCATGAAGAACAGGGCTTTGTTTCCAGAAAGTAAGTAAAAATCATTATTTTTATCGTGTGCTCAGATTTTAAAAGGAGACTCAAAAGTTCTGAAGGATATGCAGGCTTAAAATAACATTAGTCTAGATAGTCAGTGTCCTTTCTACTTGATTAGAATGTATATAACTATTATTTAAGTGGTCTCCCTGGCTTCTGAAGATTCTTGGTCAACCCTGTGCCATACCTGATGATGGCAGCAGGTGGAAGGAGACCCCAGAGAAAAGCAGTAGATTTCAGTGGGCAGTGAGGGGATTGGGTGTCAACGGTCGTCCTCAGTGCCTTTGTGCCTCTGCCAGTTTGAACTTCTGCTACTCTACACAGAGCAAATGAAGATATTATCCTGAGAGCCAGGGTAGACAACTGTTAGACTGAGAAAGGAGACACCACACTGGAAGCCAGGCATAGTTGAGGCCAGGCTCCCCGCCTGACAGAGGAATGTGAACTGGAAAGAGCAGACGCATCTGTTGATGACAAGTTGGCATCTGTGCATTTTAGCCCAGGTAAGGGCCAGAGTGCCTGCCTGGGACCAAGATAGCCTGGGCCTGACTGAACACAACCAAAGAGGACCTGGATCATTCAGTACAGAGGTGCCCGTTTAGCAGAGGAACGAGTGTCTCCGGGCACTCAGGGCTGTAAGGAAACACAGGATGCAAACCTAATTAGGGTGGGGAGAGGGCTTCTCAACATATTGATGTTACTGAACAAACTATGTTATGTTCCTAAAATTTATTTTGAAATATGCTGTATGTGATAAGAAATACATAATTTAAACAGGAATGATACAATGAGCGACCACTGTATGCACCATTCAGTTTAAGAAGGACAGGATACTATTACCAGAAATGTGGAAGCTCTCTGTGTGCTTCTCCCTGATCACATCCCTCGCCCTCTGCACCAGTGATAGTCATTGGAAAGAAAAGGTCTTGCTCTGTCACTCAGGCTGGAATGCAGTGGCACGATCATGGCTCTCTGCAGCCTCAACCTCCTGGACTTGATCAATCCTCCTGCCTCAGCCTCCTGAATAGCTGGGACTATAGGTGTGTGGCACCACACCTAGCTAAATTTCGTATTTTTTGTAGAGATGGCATCTTCCTATGTTGCTGAGGCTGGTCTTGAATTCCTGGGCTCAAGCAGTCCTCCTGCCTTGACCCCTCAACGTGTTAGGATTACTGGTGTGAGTCACTGTGTCCAGATGTTATTTTTCATTTAAAAACCTGTGTCTTCTTTTACCTCCCTGAATATGCACATAGTTTACTATGGCACATGTGTTCCCATTGCAATCCCCTGTTCCCAAAGAAATAGAATTTTCTTCTAGAGAGCCTCTCGTTCATCTGGGAAGCTCGCTAGGCTTGGGCTCTTCTCTGCGGGAAATGTTTCAGTTTCCTTAATGAATGGACTATTTAGATTTCTACTTTTTCATAAGTTGGTTTTCATAATTCTGTTTCCATAAATTCTAAGACGACTAGTTTGTTTGTTTGTTTGTTTTTTAGAATCTGGGTCTTTGTCTGTTGCCCAGGCTGGAGTGCAGTGTTGCCATCATGGCCCATGGCAGCCTTGAGCTTGTTTTTAAGTTTTAAAGTCTAGTATAACATTTTTTTTCAAAATTAAGAGGAAGGTACAGAAATTTCCTATATACCCCCTGTTCCCACACATGCAGAGCCTCCCCCGTAATCAACATCCCCCAAAGTTTTAAATAAGATATTCTTAAGACCTGTTTAAAATAGGTAGTTATGTCCTCTCTTCAATGTTTCTATTGTGTCTTCTCTGATTTTTTTTTTTTTAATTTATGTTGGTCATAGTTTTTGTTTGTTTGTTTGTTTTTGGTCTTTCGGCTTATTGATTCTTTCTGATCTCTCTATATTTATATCTTTATAGCTAATTTTTCTCTTATTTTTAAAATTTCTGCTCTTGCCTTTATCATTTGTCGCTTCTGTACACTTTGTTTTTTTTCTCCCCTTACCTTAATGTTCAGTTAGATGCTTAGCTCACTTTTAACCTTTTTTTCTTCTCTAATGTAAATATTTAAGGCCAGACATTTCTCACTGAGTACTGTCAGTTCATTCCATATATTTTGATAGACAGTATTTTGTTTTGTTTTGTTTTGTTTTGTTTTCACTTTATTTATTTATGATTATTTTTTGAGATGAAGTTTTGCTCTTGTTGCCCAGGCTGGAGTACAGTGGCCTGATCTCAGTTCACTGCAACCTCTGCCTCCCGAGTTCAAGTGATTCTACTGTCTCAGGCCTCCCGTGTAGCTGGGGTTACAGGCGCCACCATGCCCGGTTAATTTTTTGTATTTTTAGTGGAGACAGGGTGTCATCATGTTGGCCAGGTTGGTCTTGAACTCTTGACCTCAGGTGATCCACTGGCCTTGGCCTCCCAAAGTGCAGGGATTACAGGCGTGAGCTACCACGCCCGGCCTGCAGTATTTTCTTTATCGTCAAGTATAAATGTTAAAACATTTATACCTTTCTTTTTTGACCCATGCATTGAAATTATGAGTATATTTGGAGTTTCTTCTACTTTGTTATATGCTTTCAATTTTTCTCAGCTTTGCAGTTTTTTTAATCCTTTCTTGATGTAATTTTACTTACTAAAGTCTCTCTTTTCTAATTTTATTTTGCCCTTTACTCAATTCAAATAATCTATCCTTTTAGTGGTTAACTTAGCTATTTTAACATACATACTTAAATTAAAGATAATCAGTATCCTTACTTTTGTCCCAAAGTTTTTTTTTTTTTTTTTTTTAAAGACAGAGTCTCACTCTGTCACACAGGCTGGAGTGCAGTGGTGCAATCTTGGCTCACTGCAGACTCCACCTCCCAAGTTCAAGCAATTCTCCTGCCTCAGCCTCCCAAGTAGCTGGGATTACAAGCACGCACCACCATGTCCTGCTAATTTTTTTGTATTTTTGGTAGAGATGGGGTTTCATCATGTTGGCCAGGCTGGTCTTGAACTCCTGAACTCGGATGATCTGCCCACCTTGGCCTCCCAAAGTGCTGGGGTTACAGATGTGAACCACCGCACTAGGTCTGTCCCAAACATTAAAAGGGCCTTTAGACACTTTAACCCTAATCACTCTGTCTGTTTACATGTGTTTGGTTTTTCAGTATTTCAGTTGGCCTCTCATCCTGCTCCACAAATTAGGCATTTCTCTTTATTGGTTGTACAGTCAATGTTTGTTCAGATTTAGATTTACCCACATATTTACTATTAATTTTATCTTCTTGAATCTCAGATATTCCATCTGGAATTATTTTCTTCTTCCTGAATACATCCTATAAGTTTCTTTAAGTGAAGGCCTCTTGGTGGTAACTTCTCTAAGGTTTTGTTTGTTTAAAAAATGATATTTTCGCTGGGCGCGGTGGCTCACGCTTGTAATCCCAGCACTTTGGGAGGCCGAAGTGGGCGGATCACAAGGTCAGGAGATCGAGACCATCCTGGCTAACATGGTGAAACCCTGTCTGTACTAAAAATACAAAAAATTAGCCGGGTGTGGTGGCGGACACCTGTAATCCCAGCTACTTGGGAGGCTGGGGCAGGAGAATGGCGTGAACCCAGGAGGTGGAGCTTGCAGTGAGCCGAGATTGCGCCACTGCACTCCAGCCTGGGCGACAGTGCAAGACTCTGTCTCAAAAACAAACAAACAAAAAAAATATTTTCCAGATGACTGTCTTTCTTTCACCTTCATGCTTGAAAAAATAGTTTTACTGAGTCTGGAATTCTGGGCTGATTATTATTTTTTTCTAAACACATTGAAATTATTATTTTACTTTCACCTGGCCTCTGTGTTGCTATTGAGAAGTCAGCTGTCAGTCTCATCACTATTCTTTTATTGGGAAACTTTTTTTTTTCCTTTTTCTTTTCCTCCCTTTCTTCTTCTGTCCATCCTTTCTTCTTTTCTTCTTCCTCTTCCTCTTCTTCTTCCTCTCTTTCTGGTTGCTTTTAATAGTATTTCTCTATGATGTGTCTAGGTTTAGAGTTATTTTTATTTATCTAGTTTAGAATTATTTACTGGGCTTCCTGAGACTAAGGGTTGTTATCTTTCAATAAGTCTAGAAAATTGTTAGTAACTGGCCAGGCGAGGTGGTGCATGCCTATAATCCTAGCACTTTGGGAGGCCAAGGTGGGAGAGTTGCTTGAGCCCAGGTGTTCGAGACCAGCTTGGGCAGCATAGTGAGACCTTGTCTCAAAAAATTAAAAAAAGAAAATGTTTAGCAATTATATGCTTGAATTTAGGTTTTCCCGTATTATCTCTATTTGCTTCTTCAAGAGCTCCTATAAGACATTTGTTAGAACTTCTCACTGTTTTCATACAGTAATATTTCCTCCATATTTTTCATCTCTTTTTTCCTCTCTAGATTATTTGTTTGTTTGTTTGTTTATTTATTTATTTAAATAGAGACAGAGTCTCACCATGTTGCCCAGGCTGGTCTTGAACTCCTGGGCTCAAACAGTCTTCCCTTCTCTGCCTCTTACAGTGCTGGGATTATAGGCATGGGCCACCACCCCCAGCCTGGATGATTTCTTTGATTGCATCTTCCAGTTAGCTAATTTAGCTAATTTACTCTTCAGGTGTTTTTGTTTAATCCACATATTGGGTTTTACAATTCCGCTATTATATCTTTTTATTTTCAGGAGTTCTTTCTGGTTCCTTTCCAAATTTGCTTGGTTGTTCTCTCTAGGTATTTACTCTGTCTTCGAGTTTTTCTTTTATTTCACTAAATATATTAAATATAGCTGTTTCATATTCTTTGCCTGATAATTCCAATATCTGATTCTGATTTTTAATTCCAACTTCTGTTATTTCTTCTTGCTCTCACTCATGTTTTCTTTTTATTCCCTTATTTATATTGTAACTTTTGACTTCAAACTACTCATTTTTAAAAACTTTGTTTGTGGCTATCAGTCTGTTTTGTGCTGCTATAACAGAATACCACAGACTGGGTAGTTTATAAACAATAGAAGTTCATTTGGCTCATGGCTCTGGAGATGGAAAGTCCAAGATCGAGGGGCAGCATTTGATGAGGGCTTTCTGGCTGCGTCAAACATGGCTGAAGGCATCACAGTAGCAAGAGAAAGGGAGAGATACAACTCCGAGCTTCAAGCCTTTTCATAAATGTCATCAATCAGTTCATGAAGATGGCCCCCTTATGGCCTCAACAACTCCCCGTAGGCCCCACCTCCCAACACTGTTGCACTGGGGATTAAGTTTCCAACACATGCTTTCTGGCGGATACATTCAAATCACAGCAGTGGATACTCTTTGAGGCCTGGAGTTTATTTCTGCATCAAACTTAGACACCTCTTAAACTCAGATTTCCTTTTAAGATTTTTTAGGATCACACATGGCATGGGAATTTGAACTGCAACCTCTCATGAATTCTACTTGTGGTTGTAAATTCTCAGAGGAGAATATTTTCCCCTCCACCCAGAAGCAAAGTTGAATCAGGGAAGTTTCCTTCCATTCCGTTCTGCCTGGCAGGGTTATTTCTCATTCACATTTACTTTGAAGGCACAACCCTCTGGAGTTCTGGTGTGTGTGCTTATGAAACTCCCCACCTTGACGAGGCTCTGGGCTTTATCTACTTCCCCCTTTTTCCTCTTCAGTGTCAAAGTGATGATAAAGGTGTCGTGTGTGTGTCAGAAACTCTCAGCATGAATGGTGGCTTTGGTGTGTCCTTACTCTCAGGATTCACGCTCTCACTGGCCAGAGTCTTTTCTGCCAGCTCAGCAGTGTATTTATACTTTTATTTTTCTTAATTGGGTTAAAAAAATTTTTTTTGAGACAGCATTTCAGGGCCTCTAATCTGCCATAATAGCAGAACTGGGAGTTGAAAACCTGTTTTATGTTCATTATTTTCTACATATATTTGGTAGCATCGAGTCAAAGATAATGATGAATTGTTCTTCAGCCTTCTGAAATTCTGAAGAAGGTATTTGGTTTTAAATTGAAGCAAAAGACTAATTCACTTAACTATAAGAAAATCTTTCTTGCCTTGAAATCTAGAGTTGGCTAACTAAAGAAGTTTTCAGAACTTTATATGTGGAATTTTTGGGAAATAGCATAGATTTACTTTATTACATTTCACCAACTTAATACTACTACTACTACTATTAACGGAGTATCTCATGTAATCTTTTAACAATGATTAGTAAGCGTGTACTCTGGGAATCAATCAGAATTTCTGATACCAAAGTTCCTGCACTTACTCATGTTGTTATATTCCTTTCAACCAAGATTTGAGGCAGCTTCCAAACATGTATTCAGTATAAAAGAATAAAACTGGCCGGGCGCGGTGGCTCAAGACTGTAATCCCAGCACTTTGGGAGGCCGAGACGGGTGGGTCACAAGGTCAGGAGATCGAGACCATCCTGGCTAACCTGTTGAAACCCCGTCTCTACTAAAAAATACAAAAAACTAGCCAGGCGCGGTGGCGGGCGCCTGTAGTCCCAGCTACTCGGAGGCTGAGGCAGGAGAATGGCGTCAACCCGGGAGGCGGAGCTTGCAGTGAGCTGAGATCCGGCCATTGCACTCCAGCCTGGGCGACAGAGCAAGACTCCGTCTCAAAAAAAAAAAAAAAAAAAAAAAAAAAAAGAATAAAATTAGTCACTGAGAGACTTGAGGCAATGGATAGGAAAACAATAAAGCTTTGAATAAGAGTAACACTTTGAATAAGTGGCTCACACCTGTAGTCCCAGCACTTTGGGAGGCCAAGGTGGGTGGATCATCTGGGGTCAGGAGTTTGAGACCAGCCTGACCAACATAGTGAAACCCTGTCTCTACTAAAAATACAAAAATTAGCTGGGCATGGTGGCGCATGTCTGTAATCCCAGGTACTCAGGAGGCTGATGCAGGAGAATCGCTTGAACCTGGAATGCGGAGGTTGCAGTGAGCTGAGATTGTGCTACTGCACTCCAGCCTGAGAGACAGAGTGAGACTTTCTCTCTCTCAAAAAAAAAAAAAAAAAGAGTAACACACAGGGAAAACATTATTTTTTTTTGTAAGTGGGACCTGTATTTAGTTTTAATCTTCGCTTCTTTTTTTTTTTTTTTTTTTTTTTGTGAGACAGGGCATTGCTCTGTTTCCCAGGCTAGAGTGTGATGGCACTATCACAGCCCACTGCAGCCTTGATCTGCCAGGCTCAAGTGACCCTCTCACCTCAGCCTCCCAAGTAGCTGGGACCACAGGTGTGTGCCACCATGCCCGGCTAATTTTTGTATTTTTTGTAGAGACAGGCTCTCACCATGTTGCCCAGGCTAGTCTTGAACTCATGGGTTCAAGGGATCCTCCCATCTTGGCCTCCCAAAGTGCTGAGATTAGAGGCATGAGCCACCACGCCTGGCTAGTTTTCAGCTTTTTTACATACACTAAGAGTAGGGTGGGCAAAGAACAACGAAGTTGTTTTGTGTGTGGCCCTGTTAAATGAGACAAATGCCTGTGACTTTGTGAGCCTTTTTGCAACACTGTTGAAATTGCATCAAGGCCCTGATGACAAAGATTGGCAGTAGTAAAGTAGCCTGGGGGAATATTGTTTATGTTTTTATTATAAAGACTGAAACTCTTCTAAGCTATTGACAGCTACGTTACTGGGAAGGTGGTGTAGGGCTGGACCTGCCTGGTGAAGGACTGGCCCTGGTAGGATCTGGATGGGCTGGGAGCTTCATTGGGCATCAGATTTCAATCCACTACCAAGTTTCCGATCACTTCAGTTGTTCCCATTTTGCCAAAACAGTCGCCCTCTATGCCCCTGATGGTCTCATGCCTGTTCATGTTGGGAGGGCCTGAGATGCATCTGGGCCCTTAGGGATACTTTAATCACAGTGTAGACAGCCTGTGTCATCTCAGTCTCAGCTGATCAGGGACCAAATGCTTAGGGCCAGATTATAAGTAAACCAGGTGGTGGTGTGAAACTTGGAAAAGCCATTGACTGTGTATATTTGGGTCCTGTCAGCAATTCCCGGACATGGGTAGGGGTGTGTGTGTTTGTGTGTGTGTGTGCTCTTGCTGTGGTATACAGGCACAATGAAAGTGTATGAAAACAAATGTAAAGTTCATGCTTAGATTTCTTAACTCTGGAGGTTAGTCATCTTTGACAAAGCAAACTGGGATGACTTTTTTTTGTGTGAGCTTCCCACTTAAGAACTAATAAATAAAAAGATCCATTTCCATAAATAAACTGGCTCACAAGTGTGCAGTAGTTTTAAACTTTCTTTTTCTTTGCTTCAAGGATTTTGACTCTTTCTTCTCTGCAAAAGAAGAGAATATTATTTATTCCTTCCTTGGTTTGGCTCCTCCTCCAGACTCAAAGGTGAGTTGGAACAAACTCTATTGGATTCAAAACAGGTAATACTAAATGAAGGTAGAAATCTGCATCCAAGACTGTTTCATAAATGATGATTTTTAAATTAACATAATTTTAGTACACTTCTTATTCTGATGAAGTCCTATGCATAGAGAGAATGCAGTTTTTACTAAAAAAAGTTCCAAAATTATGCTTTTCATATTTATGCTATGTTTTCACCTTGTTATGGTAAATTTTATAATACCTAAGTTAGGCAATATCATTACTTTGAATAAACTTAAGTGCATTCATTAAATATGTAAACATTTGAGCTCCCAGGTTGTGTTTATACAATTATTTTGTTTTGAATTGATTTCTCATATAGCTTTATATGAGTTAATTTCATAATGATATATGCCCTTATATTATTTCTATTTAAATGAACCAAACTGCATTTTGGTCTCACAAAAATGGGACAGGTAAGATCTCGATTCAAGAACAAGGTAGGTTTTATCAGGTTTTTTTCTTCCAGTGATGTCTCATCTTTGATTATGTATAATTAAATAGAGAATTATGCTAATAAAGCAGGAACTGTGAATTTGACTTGTGTGCATGTTTAATTCATGAGACTTGCTAAGACTTGCTGATGGATTGAATGTGGATAGGGATGGATTCCATGATGACTTCTAACCAGTGGGTGTAAAAATCTGCTCTGAGAGAGGACCATATTGACAAGAGAAATTAAGTTTGAGACAGCTGAGCAAAGAAGTGAGGTAGGCAATTGTATGCTGATCTGTGTCTCTGCAAAATCTGGTTGGAGACACACACGTGGAATCTGTGAGTGTGTAGATGGAGCTGAAGTTGTGAAAAGTGGATGAAACAAAGTAATGAGAGAGTTGACAGGAAGGAGACCAGAGTGGGAGCGGAGGTGGCGCTTCAAGTTTAAAGTTACCTGGAAGATGAGAAACCAGTTGAGGAGGCTAAGATAGAGAGTGGGGAAGGCAGGAGGAGACCAGGAGCGTGTGGTGTTATGGACGCCCAGGAGGAGCTCGGCTCTTTACAGAAGAGGGTGATGTAAGTTGTGAAAATGTGGCTGAGAGATTGCGTCAGGTGAGGCCATAAAGGTGACCACTGGCTTTGACGACATGGAGGTCATTAGAGGCTATGACAGAAGTAGTTTCTGAGGAGAGGTGGAGGCAGAAGCATGTGGTCTATATAGAGTGGTCTGCGGAGGGCTGGTACTGAGAACGAGGGACTATGCATAGACAATTATTTTGGGGGAATTTTCCCACAGAGTGAAAGAGAACATGGCAGACATCATTGTTTTAAACAGTGTCCTACTCCTTCCCACTACTGGAAATTAGGGCAGAGTTCCTTGAGTCCCTGCTTGCTGCCGATTCCCTAGCTTCCTCTCTTCTCCCTATGTTCTGGAAAGTTCCCCCATCTCTCTTCTTTACCCAAGCTCAATCTCTCTTCTTAACCCAAGTTCTCTTTCAGTAGACATCTCCCATATTCCTACTGCTTCTCAATCCCCTTCTTCCAGACCCCAGACCTGTGGGTGATAGGAGGGGAGAGTCTAGTTTTTACAAAGGCCCACTAGGGGGTTATCTAAACAAAAGGGAATTTTCTATCCTTGGTCAATAATAATGTGGCAAAGCTTTGAAATGACTTTTTCTTTAACCTTTTGTAGGTCAAATTCTTGACAGAGTTACTGTCTTCACCAAGAGTCCCAATAAACAGAAGGGGGAGAGGGTAGTAGAAAAATGTATTTTCTGTCTGTTCACCACAAATTCCAGGAATCATGTTTTCCTTATTTCTTCCCTTTGTGATATCTTTTTATTCTTTTTTTTATAGCATTAGAATATTTTTTTTCATGTGGCTATAGCCTTCATGATGATCATTTAAAACTTTGATACTCTATCACACTGATGTATCATAATTGATTTTCTTATTCCTATGTTTAAAATTTTTACTTATTATTGTGTCATAAACATGTTTATGCTATTATGGTATCATTAATGTCATCTAAATATTTTGTATAACATTCCATCAAGTTGATGTGCCATACATTTAAAAAAATTTTTATTCACTTATTTATTTTTTAGAGACAGTGTCTTGCTATGTTGCAAAGTTTCTCCCCTAGGAAAACACTAAAATGCTTTCGTTCTCTATATACTTGCCTCGTCTGAGCATTTAATGCCAATGGAACCATACACTACAGGGTCCTTTGTGACCGGCTTCTTTCATTTGGCATCATGTTGTCAAGGCTTGTCTGTGTTGTACCAGGTGTCAGCACTTCTTTCTTTGTTAGGGCAGACTACTATCCATGGCGTGAATGGATGGACCACATTTTATGAATCTGTTCGTCAGTGGATGGTTATTTGGATTGTTTCCACGTTTTGGCTATCATGAATAATGCTGTGATGACCATTTGTGTATCTTTTGTTTAATTGATTTCTAATACTTCTACAATTGCTGCTTTGCATCAGAATCTCTTGACAATTTAAAAAAATTCAGATGCCTGAGTTTTACTCTAGACTTACTGCCCCTAAATCACCAGGGGAGAGGACCAGGGATCTACATTTGCAAAAAGTCCCTGAGTTGATTCTGATGCTTACTTCTATTTAACAACCACTACACTGGAGACAATACATAATATTCATGTATATGCTTCTCCAGAATGAATGTGATATCATATTTGCTTTAGTTAAGAAACTCAAATAGTGCAGGGAAATTGTAAGGCCACTTTATTCCTTTCCCCATTCCTGATTCTGCCCCGCATTCATGAATTTGGTATCTCTCTTTCGACAAGCAAGACATCTTTTTGTGCTGTATTTTCAATGCCTAATTGTTATATTTTATGAAATTTGCTTTTTTCAAATACACCATGGGCATTTTATTAATATTTTTAAGCAACAATAGTAGTAGCAGAAGCAACAAGAACAAACTCTTAGGTCAGGCATTGTGGTTCATGCCTGTAATCCTAGCACTTAGGAAGGCAGAGGCAGGAGGATAGTTTGAGCCCAGGTGTTTGTGACCTGCCTGGGCAACATAGTGAGACCCTGTTCTCAAAAACAAACAAAAAGGAACAAACTCCTAGCGGGCTAGCAACTTAACAGATACTGTGAGGCTCCAAATGGAATTCCAGCCATTAAAAAAAGTAACTCATATAATAGCATTTAATAGATGTCAAAGAAAATATATGGATAAGTGAATAAAGAGGCTGAAAAGTTCAAGTAGATTGCTCCAGGTCACACGGCTCATCATCTGTAGACCTAGAATTTGATTTCAACATTTTCTGATTATTAACCCAATATCCTCTTCACTCCCTTGTGTTTAGGGCTACATTTATAGAAAATCTATCTACCCTTAAATCTGTTAAAATTAAAAAAACTCATCTGTCACATATGGAGGTAACTATCACCCCAATATTTTACTCTAAAATTAATAATTAAAAGAGAAGATCTAAACTTTTTTTTTTTGCCTTTTAAACAAGAATCTATAATTCTTTCCTGGTTGTTGAGAGTAAACTTTTTTTTTGTAGGTCAAATGTCAAATAAATGATAGAATTAGAAAAATAACCCATTTGCCAAAGCCAATGTAATAATTGATTACAGCATAGCTAATGAATGGATAATAAAACTGGGTAAAAGGCATTAGGTGAATTTATTTCTTGGGGGAATCAGATAAATGTCTTGTGCTAAAGTATTGGCCCCGCCAAACATTATTTGCTAAATTCAAGGGGGAAACTGATCTTTATAATAAAGAGATCTATTGGTCACAACCTTAACAAAGTAGCCCAACCACTGTCACTACTAATGGGACTCACTGATGTCATAATCTGCCTGTTGCAAACATGAAGTCCATAGTCTCACCAGTCAAGTGTTCTTGCTAAAGCCTTTCCCCTGCATGCAGTCCAGTCTCCAGCTCCAAGTTCTAGCTTATAAAAAACACAGAGGAAGAGGAACAAGTTAAATAATATCACAAAGAAAGAATCAGACAAAACAAAAATTTGGAACAGTCTTCAAGATAACTGACCCAGACTCCTAAAACATTCAGTGTCATGAAAGATAAATAAATAAAAAGAAGTGGAATTGTTCTAGACTAAAATAGACTGAAGAAATATGAGAATCAGATGCAATTAATACTTTTTAAGAGATTCAAGTCTAAAGAAAGTAATTGTAAAATATTTACTGCAGGCAACTCGGGAAATTTGGAAAGAAATTGGATATTACATGACATCAGGGAGTTCTTTTTAGTTTCCTTAGATGTGATAAAAATACTGGAGTCATGTAAGAGAATGGCCCTTGTTTTTAGAAGACAATACTAGAATATTTAAGGGTGCAGTTTCACAAGACACATGAAAAATGTTAGCAAGTGTTCAATCTGTGTAGTTCATTTTTAAAAACTTTTCCGTGTCTTTAAAATTTTCATAAGGAAGAGCTGGAGCAATTTTTTTGTTTTTTTTTGAGACAGAGTCTCGCTCTGTTGCCCGGGCTGGAATGCAGTGGCACAATCTTGGCTCACTGCAACCTCCGCCTCCCGGGTTCAAGCAATTCTCGTGCCTCAGCCTCCAGAGTAGCTGGGGTTACAGGTGCCCACCACCACACCGGGCTAATTTTTGTATTTTTAGTAGAGACAAGGTTTCACCATGTTGGCCAGGCTGGTCTCGAACTCCTGACCTTAGGTGATCTTCCCACCTTGGCCTCCCAAAGTGCTGGGATTACAGTCATGAGCCACTGCGCCCAGCCTGGAGCAATATTTGGAGCTAAGCATATGGCAATGTTGTATTGCCTGTGCTCTTATTAGTTGAAAGCTCTTATTAGTCAAAATGTCCTAGTCAAAACTTGAGGAGGATTGCTCTAAATGGAGAAGAACACAACTCAAATAAAACTTGTTTCAAGGCAGAAGGACATACAAATGGCAAATGGCCTTGTCCAAAGTTACTCTGTCTAAAGCTACTTTAAGTTTTACAGGGGAAAAAAAAACAGACTTTAGAAAATTATGTGGAAAAGTTAGAGCAGATG